CTGATACAGTTGAGAATTAAACGGAGCCCTTTGTCATCTGCCTCACTGTAACGGCTCCCAGCTTGCCAGGATAAAAGACTGGCGTGCAGCTTGCTGGCACATACCTTTTCTACCAGCAGTCAGCCGGCAGAAGCAGGCAGACCTCCGCCAAGGCCAGCCTGGTCTACGGAGAGAGCCCCAGGACAGCGACGTCTACACAGTGAGACCTCTCTTCAGACAGACAGAGCCAGGCGTTCTGCAGTAGCTAGGGACCTCTGGCGGCTAACTGCCTGTTTCTGGGTTCGAGTTCCTATCATCACACGACAGTACCTTTCCTGTTCTGACGCGTTACTTCTCCTTCACTGCGCTGAAAACGCGAAAGCCGAAAGGTACCTGGAACACCGGGATCCTCAAGTATCCTCTCTGGGGGACCCCAAATGCAGAATATTCGTACCTGCTTGTACCACCCCAGCAGCCTGCCAGTAAGTTCACCTAGTGACAAACCCAGAGCCCAGCAAGGCCTCACTTGGTCTACAAAGGGGCCTAAGCAAAGGTGGGCCGCTTGGAGTGTAAAGCCTGCACCTATGACCTCTGCGGAAAACCGGTAAGAGGTGGTCCCTCGGGAGGTCCCACTTCCGGCTCCCTGTCCAGAAACCCACTTCCTGCTCTCTCACGGTCCACAAATCCTCCCTGCCTCCCACTTTCCAGGTCAAGGTGTAGCATCTTCCAGCCGTTGGCCATCCGTGGACAAACTGTAGAGAGATGCCGGGCTTCCAGAAGGCATCTGCTGTCTTCCCTGCGGTATGGAGAAACGCAAGGGCCCCTGGCCTGATCTGCGAATGTCCTGGGAATACACAGTCTGTCAGATTTTCACAAAATGGAATCCCCACACACACACAAGGAGCAAGTGGCCCGGAAGCCATGAGGTGGGAGAGCGCGCTGCTAGGTGAAGACGCCTGGAATCCAAAAGCCAGTTTAACACATCTCCACCACACCGCGCAGGATCTGAACCAGGATGCGCAACAAACGGGGGGGGGGGGGGGGGGGGTGGATTTGGAGTTGACAGAGAGAGGTGGACAGGGATCACCGTGCGCGTGCGCGCGCTAGAGGGGTGCGGGTGCTTGAGCCGTGGGTGCGAAGCCGTTGTGCGCGAAGGAGGTGAGGCCCACCGAAGCTCTCTCTCCAAGGCGGTGCAGGGGCGGCTTGCGTGGGAGAGGGCTTCGATCCCTGGCCTCTTCTCTCCCGGCGCGGGGAAGGGAAGCTGGGACTTGGAGAGACAGATAGGAAAGGGGCCCCGAGGGACCGGTAGCCATCCAGGTGGCTGTGCGTCCGAGCGGAACGCGCGGCAGACCGCGGGTCTTTTGCGGCAGTTGCTGGAAACCGGGTCCTTAGAGAAGCGTCTTCATCAGGGACCAGCGACTCCCTCCCGTCGGCAGACGCAGTCCAGCGCCGGCTCAGCTTGCAGAGCTGCTGCGCCGTCGGCGGCGGGGCTCGCTTGCAGGACGTCAGCAGGCATTTCTCTGGAGGCACGAGGGGCGGGAGGCGCCTGAAAACCCCGGCCAGAGAACCATGGAGCCTGTGCCTGGCTCGGGACCACGGCCTCTGGAGGTGGGCGCAGGCCGGAGGTCACCAAGCGAATACCCTGCGTTGCCAAAATGAAACGGTGAAACCAGGGAGCCCACAAAACAGGCCTAGAGGAGCAGACTCCCCCTCCAGTCAGGACAGAGGACCCTACCCAGCCTGCCTGAGGGGGTGTTGTAGGAGTGAGAGGTAAACCAAAGTTGACCCAGCCGCCTCCGGCTGGACCCCGGTGCAGACAAGCGCCATAACCCCATTCTTCTCCTGCCATTAGTGCTGGCTGCTCACCACAGCCCAGACGAGCAGGGGCCGGAAGGTGATCCCCGTGGCGCCTGCCGCTGTTTCCCAGCCTTGTGCGTACTGGAGGCACCCTTTCTTCACCTGGGATCGGGGTGCTGATCTTGCAAAGGACAGCAAGAAATCAATTCCCAGGAATGCATGACTCCGATTTCCACTCGCAAAAAAAAAAAAAAAAAAAAAAAAAAAAAAAAAAAAAAAAAAAAAAAACAAAAAAAAAAAAAAAAAAAAAAAAAAAAAAAAAAAAAAAAAAAAAAAATCCCATGGAGAATCTGTCCTACACACACACACACACACACACACACACACACACACACACACACACACACACACACACGGTTCTTTAAAGACTGAAAAGGGAGCCGACAGAGGAATTCGGGGAAGTGATGACACACGTAACAATGCTGTCACACCTGGCTGCTGAGGAGCTGAGCGGCGGAAATGGAGCCGTGGGGGGGGGGGGGAGAAACCCAGGGTCAGCTTGGGTGGTCGAAGAAGAAGAGGAAGAAGGAGAAGGAGAAAGAGAAGGGGAAGAAGAGGAGGAGGAAGAAGGAAGGAAGGAAGGAAGGAAGGAAGGAAGGAAGGAAGGAAGGAAGGAAGGAAAAGGAGAGAGCGACCTCCACCCTCTTTGGAGAGGGACCAAAGCCAGATATTCTGCCCCTTCCCGGACAAGCTCCTAGCCACAGCCTGGGCACGCCTGATGTTGAGGAAGAGGACAAACACCTGCTTAGAGGGTGGCCACGTTCTGAAGAAATGCCGTTTGTCTGGGGTGTGCTCCGGACGTGACAGATAGCCTAAAAAAACATCGAGGCCGCTTGGGGGTATTTTCAATAAGGGCTGGAAGCGGGTATCTTCCCAGGAAACTAAGAGAAAACTAGCTCCCTCTCACCCTGGTGGTTAGGCCGGATTTGTCCTGTTGGCCTTCCTAGAGTCATCTTCAAGATGTTAAGAGTCCAGAGCCTACACCCCCCCAAAAAAAAAAAAAAAAAAACCACGCACACTGTCCTTTTCCTTCACTCTCGGTGTGGGGAGCGCACAGTGTCCGATCTGCGGTCTTCTGGTGCTGGGGTCAGTCGCCACTGTGGGCTCCTGGGTTGCTGGAGAATTCTTGAAGACCAAGCAGCAGTGAGGGAAAGAGGTAAAACAGGCACTGGCTGGCCACCTAGACATGCCAACCACTGAGGCGCCCTCGGGGCACTCAGGTCACCATCTTCCCCGGTGTCCGGGCACCTTCCACAGCGCTCAAGGGCCTGGAGGTTTGAAACATTCGCCTCGTTCACACTTGCAGGCTGCAAACCGGCGTTCGGGCTGAGGGCGGTGGCACACCTGAATCTGGCGCAGATTCCCTCCGAGTCCGGTTCTGGTCTTGCGGATGCAACCGGATCCCCACCAGACTTCCGTTATCATGTGAAAACCTTTGGGGTGCGGGGGGGGGGGGGCGGAGAGGAGAAGAAGATCAAAACTACTGTCCATCACGACCGAGGCACGAGCAAGCGCCTCCCAGCCTGTTGCTTTCCTTTCAAGCCGGTAATAAAATTGCCTGCGCTGAGGGGTGAAGATGCAGGTGAGGAGGAAAGCTCCTTGGGGGCGGGGAAGGAAAGAGAGAGAGATCAGGAGACGGTATTTCCACAGACCCTGTTTACCCCGGCGCCGGGTCCGTGCGCCTCTCTGGGCAGAAAACGAGCAAGCCCGGCGCTCACGGCCTGTCCGCGGGCACCCGGTGTCTCCGAACAGCACGCTGGCACTTGCGCAGTGTTTTGTACATCCCAGGGACAGATCTCGACCCTCCACACCACCCCACGGGCCTTCCACGTGCGACACCTGTGCACCCAACAGTCCCCAAAGCCCCTCGGCGACCACCGAGCCGGAGCGCGAGAGACGCCGCCCGATCTCTGAAACGCGGGACCCGGGGGGCTGCAGGGCGGATGCCGAGGGGAAATCTGGTCCCCGCGTCCGCCCCCAGCGCGGGAGGCGAAGGGTCGGCGCCCGCGGTCGTCCCGCTCGCCTCTCCCCGGCGATCCTCTCTCCCTGGCGCTCGCCGGGCCCAGAGAGCCCCCGGGGCAGAGCAGGCCGAAGCTCCCGCCTCCCCGCCACACGGAGCCCCGGGCCGGTTTACCTCCGGCCGCCGCCGAACCCGCCACTCTGCCCGGGTCCGGCCCCCTCGCCATCCTGCCCCTCCCCAAGCCTCCGGCCACCGCTCTGGCCCCGGCGTGGCCCGAGGCTCGGGGCGCAGGGGCCCGATCCTCTCACCTGTGAGCCGCCGGGAGGCTGGGGTGGCCTCTCCTCGCCGGGGGACCGTGCTCCGGGGGGCACCGGCGAGGGTGCGGCCGGCCCCGACCCGGGCCTCCGGCGACGCGAGCACAGGACTCCGGAGAGCGGGTCGGCGGGGGCTGCGCCGGCTCCGGAGGCCGGGGAAGGCCGGGTCCAAGCTCCGCCGGCCGTAAAAGAGAGAGAGAGAGAGAGAGAGAGAGAGAGAGAGAGAGAGAGAGAGAGAGAGAGAGAGAGAGGCTCAGAAGACGAAGTCGCCCGTGCGCTGCCAGCCGCCCCGGTGGAGGGGCGAAGAGGCCCCTGACGCAAGCGGAACTCGGCGGAGCCCGTACGGTTCGGGACGGAGCGAGCGAGGCTCCCGGGGCGCCCCGGGGGTGGGGTGGGGGACTCCGAGAGGCGGCGGCGGCTGCGCCCCAGACCCCCGGGTCGAGCCTCGGCGGCGGGAGGGGGGAGGGGAGGGGAGGGCTGAGCCCAGAAAACCCACCGAGGCGGGGACTGGCCCGGGCGGGGAGGGGCGGCGGGGCCGGAGCCCCCACCCCTCCTCACCCCCCACCCCACCCCCCCACCCCGCCGCTCTTGGGCAGCTTCCCGATGGCCAGAGGCTGACTTCTACTCCCGCCGACCGCTCCCCGGGGGTGGGGAGGGGGGTGGAGGGGGGGGGAGAGAGAGAGAGAGGAAAGAGGAGAGAGCGAGAGCCGCGCCAGGCCTCCCGGCCCCCGCAGCCCTGCACCAGTCGGAGGCTGCGCCGCCAGCGCGCACCCGAGCTCCCGCCTGCCGGGCCAGCCCGCTCCGGGGACAGCGCAGCCCCGGGTGCCCCCGGGGGCGGCCCGGGCCCCGCAACAGCTCCGGGCTTTTTTTTTTTCCCCCCCTCGGTCACGATGGCCAGCTACCCGGAGCCCGAGGACCCCGCGGGGACCCTGCTGGCCCCGGAGGGCGGCGGGCGGACGCTCCAAGAGCCCGAGGCGCCACCGCCGCCGCCGCCACCGCCGAGCCCCGGCAAGGGCGCCTCCTCCGGGCCGGCGGCTGCGGAGAAGCCGGACCCGGCGCAGAAGCCCCCGTACTCCTACGTGGCCCTCATCGCCATGGCCATCCGGGAGAGCGCCGAGAAGAGGCTCACCCTGTCCGGCATCTACCAGTACATCATCGCCAAGTTCCCGTTCTACGAGAAGAACAAGAAGGGCTGGCAGAACAGCATCCGCCACAACCTCAGCCTCAACGAGTGCTTCATCAAGGTGCCGCGCGAGGGCGGCGGCGAGCGCAAGGGCAACTACTGGACGCTCGACCCGGCCTGCGAGGACATGTTCGAGAAGGGCAACTACCGGCGCCGGCGACGCATGAAGAGGCCCTTCCGGCCGCCCGCCGCCCACTTCCAGCCGGGCAAGGGGCTCTTCGGGGCCGGGGCCGCGCCGGGGGGCTGCGGCGTGGCGGGCGCCGCGGGCGCCGACGGCTACGGCTACCTGGCGCCCCCCAAGTACCTGCAGTCGGGCTTCCTCAACAACTCCTGGCCCCTGCCGCAGCCCCCCTCGCCCATGCCCTACGCCTCCTGCCAGATGGCGGCCGCCGCCGCCGCCGCAGCCGCCGCCGCAGCAGCCGCCGCCGCCACCGGCCCGGGCAGCCCCGGGGCGGCCGCGGTGGTCAAGGGGCTGGCGGGCCCCGCGGGCTCCTACGGGCCTTACCCCCGCGTGCAGGGCATGGCGCTGCCCCCGGGCGTGGTGAACTCCTACAACGGCCTGGGGGG